ATGTTTTATAACAACATAACAAACATATTCGCGAAATACATATCTTTGAAATGCAACAGACGATTAATTTGATTGCTGAGATTTTTTTGAAAATAATGTTTCAGATAAGTGGATTAAGAGCAGTAAATTGTACAATCATGTTAGAGTCTCGTAATCTGAATAAAAACAACTCTACATTAAACGTGACAGACAAAAATTATTTAAATAATAATGAAATTCTGCAGCACGCAAAAATTGTTGAAAAGTTAAAGAGAATATACAGTCCGCGGGCCAAAAGAGAAACCTCGACTCCAACTTATCGATTACTCGGAGTCGCCTTTCACGGTGGCAGCGGCGTGCCATTGGCCCCTTAAAGGTTCCCGAAAAGCGAAGAAAAGCAGCCGGGCGCCGGGCCAATGGCCGTGGCGCGCGCGCACCCCCTTTGCTCTCTCGTCGCCTTTTTCCTGTGGATTTTTCCTCGCTGTCGCGTCTCTAAGAAAGCTGCCGGCAGCGAATCGCGGACGCGCAAAATCCATCGCAACCCCCGTCATTGGCGGAGTTGCAGCATCTTGACGCCGCCCATCGAGGAACCCTGTACCCGGGAAAACAGAGCTCACGTTCGTTCCCTCTCTCTTCCCGGATTTTCCCGCCTCTCTCGAATGCGCCTCTCGTTCTCGTTTTCTCGTTTTCACCCTCTCCCTCTATCTATCTGCCGTCGCGACGCCTCCACCACCCCGTTTTCTTCTCCTTCTTCGTCCTCGCGTTCTCGCCCGGCTCCACCTAGGATCGCTCTCTTCTTATCTCGCTCCTACCTCGGCTTCCCTCCTCCGACGACGACGTCGTCGTTACCATCGTCGCTGTGCGCTCTCGCTTCTCGCTCTCTTTCTCTACTTTCACCCTGCCCTCCCTGCTCTTTTGTTTCCCCGGCCGGCTTCCTTCCTCTTCTTTGGTGTCGGTTTCGCCCGAGCCGCCGGCGCACCCCGAATACCCCCGGGTATACCATACCGAGATGGTCTCCTCTTTTCCTCTCCTTCTCCCTTGCGCCTTCGTCTTGCCACTTGCTATTCTGCTTTACGGCATACGGCGACCTGGAAGAAACCCCGCATCCGGGGTGAGGCTGCAAAGCCGTGAAAGCAGAGGAGAGGAAGGGAGGGTTCCCAGCGACGATGCTTCCTCAGATATTAGATTTTACAAGGAGCGTGCTGGGATTTTAGACGGGTCACGGGATGGGTGGACGACGGCGGAGATGGAGGAACGCCGGGCCACTGGTTCCGCGCTTCTCCTTACATCGAGGATGGGATAAATATTAATTACGTTTCTAAGGGCCGCCTGCGGCTATACGTGTACTACTGGTTATACTTCCTCGCTGTATCCCGGGCCTTACGTCTCCGGGAATTTGCGGGCACGTCTTCGCGAGAGATTTGCTTTCTTATTGATCGTCGGTACGGCTGTTCCTACTGTCTGTTTCTACTGCCTTCTCGGATCTATGAATTTTTTAAGTTTGGACACAAATTCTACTGGGCGGGTTTTTTATTACACAATATTTTTAGTCTCGACATTTCTCTTTCTTATCCTCTATTAAAAAAAATACGTATCTTTATTTTATATTAATGTTAATAAAAAAATTACGATTTTGTTTGTTATTTATTTTTAAATAAGCAGAATGAGTATTTAAATCATGTTTACTTTGTCAGTTTGGTAATATTTTTTTTCTTTTTCACCTTTCTTCGTCTGCGTTTAATATGCATGCTATTTGCTGGTCATACTATTGTGCTCTGTTGAATCAAGCGCGGCAAAGTTTTATTAAATACCATAGATGCGCTTCAAGTGTCGACGTGGAAAAAACACTTTGCCGATGTGCATTCGCGGCGCTATTCCATCTCCCCGCGTTAAATTGATTCGCATTATTAAAAGCAGCCGTGAATTGGCCGTGAAAGTTTTTCAATTTCCCCGGCACTGTTTCCGCCAGTAAATTGCACTGATAAATTGCACAATACGACGCGGTTCGGAGAAAATCGCATTCAAAACTAACGTGTCTCGGCGTCTAGACATCGGCGCGGATTAGTTGCATATTTCATTTAGAAACACAATAAATGGCTTCTAGACGACGTTAAAGTACGATGTAATAACAGCGCTTTCTTATCTTCATCACAACATGTATTTAAACGAAGGATATAAAATGAATCAAAGATAATTATCGAACAATTACTTTTTATTTTTATTACAATGTTTAAAAATAGTTCTGTAAATATAACACGCCATTTTTAATAGTTTATTCGTTTTCTATTATTAATATAATTATACAAATTAAATTTTTAACAAATAATTTTTCAATTAATTTATAACTTTACAGATACATGATCATTTTTGAAAATATATCTTTAAAAGAGTTTTGAAGAAAATTACTTGCTGTTTTACATAAGTCTCGCAATTTATCAGTGACATGACGTTCCATGTTTCTTTTTTTACCTCAGGTGTTTAATAACGTCTGTCTACGTTATTAGACTGACCGCATCTCGCCGACGGCATTCGAAGAAGGGTCAATTTATCGAATTTGCGGGATAATTATGTGGGGTTGCAAACGCCGATCGCATAATCTCGTGGGTACGCGTGGCTGATGATCATGGTCGATTATCCATGGAGTCATTCGCCGCTCTTCGGGTAACGAGGCAGTTCACCCTGACTCGCTGGAAACAGCCTTCGGGGAAGAAAGATCAGGGGTGGTTGGTTCGAAACCTGGCTGAAATAGGTGGTGCTGCCGCGCAGTGGCGGTGTCGATAACTGAGCTGTTTAAACAACCCCCTCGCAATTTAGCCCTTCATTTGTCCAAATCGTCCTACCATGTTTCAAACACACACGCACGCACACAATAGCGATCCCGTAAAAATATTTTACACAGCATTTTATGAATATCAGAAAAAATGTAAAATATTTATTATAAAAATATTTAATTTAAAAAATGTATGTACTTGTACAAATCATAATTAATTGTCTTTGTATTGTATTTAAATTAGGCTTTTTATAAAAATGTCCACATCGCCGATAACATTATCAGAATCTATTAGATAATTCAATATAAAGAGAACGGAGAAAGTAACAAACGGGTTTCAGATATCAAGTTTATTAAGGATTTTTTCATATCTTCACGACACAATCTTTTTCACGACTTATCTATAAAATGAACCTGATTATAAAAATCATAATTCTAATCTATTTGAACAAAGACAAAATTTCGCTTGCCATAACAATTGTAATTCTGGTATCCTCTTGTGGCGACACCGGATCGGGCACTTGTCACCCTGTGAGACAAGATCGATCGACTTGTCGGTTGATCGCGGCATCGATGCATCCCGTGATAGGACGTTAGATCGCTGACCGAGGTCAGCCATTAGCCGCAAATGACGTACTTAGGTGGCCGGCGATCTCTCTCACTGAGAGATTTGATCGGATGCGGGATTCCTTCGGACAATGATTCCGGCTCGAGATCCGCGAGAGCGAGCGAGCGAGCGAGCAAACGACAAGGGGATCACGGCCCCTTCTTCGTTCACCCTATTGATTTTCCATTCGGAACAGCTTCGGCACTATCGAGGCGCCAAACGTCGGCACGAGCTGCCCGACCGATTGACCGACATTCGATTGCCAATCGACGCGCAATTCGGTCGATCCACCGGTGACAATGATTGAGACACCTGTGACTCGTTTGCAAGCGAATATTGATCGATCCGCTACAAAGTCGCTGCTATTTTCAATTACGCGCGTATATTATTCTAAATTGAAAACTTTGAAAATAATATATAAGATTATATGTTTCAGATATAAAACTAATAGAACATATTATTATAAATGTACGATTTATATATGTGAATACGACATGAATTTATATACTGTTCGTAATATGATACGATTAAATATCGTCTCGCCAGAAAATAACACTTATATTTTAAAAATAGCGAAGTTTTATGATAGTTGTATATGATTTCTAATTTTTGGACTCGCAAAACATGTTTTTCAACTGATCAATTAATTGGAAATATGCAAACTTTTTCCTGTTTTCTTTTATATATATATTTTATATTACATTTATACACGAGATAGATATGGTAAAAATTTTATAACTTTTCATTTTTTATGTTTTTTCTAAGATATGGAGTTTTTTTATGCTCTTTAAAAAGATCGTTGTTGAAACGAGTGCCAATATTATGATTAACGGAGTAATCCATGATCGAGATAGTTCGCGGTGAATTCCGGCGGTAATTAGCCGTACTGTTTGATTTGGACGACGCGGTGGAAGAGGCTCGTGCGGGTCTGATTGGATGAAGCCGTAGATTCGTCTTCACTTTCCAAAAGGAAAGAACAGCCCGGGGCCTCTGGCTCCAGGAAATGACGAGAAGACGAGATGAGACAAGACGGGACCCGCGAGTTAGAAACGACGAAGTCGTTGAGTTCGGATGAGATGGGACGGGACGAGGCAGAAGAGACGACGAGATGAGATGAGAAACAGCAATGTCGCAATGAGATATTGCCAGTATGCGAAGGTGCACAAAGCTACCTTAGGATCTGTCTCTGTGCCTTGTAATAACACTGTGCATAAGTTACGGCGGACTACTCACGGTTTGATGATTAGCTTAAAAAAATATTTTCATTATCATTGGGAAAAAGATAATAGCTGTGGCACAAAAGCGCGATATATATATATATATATATTTGTATAGAGAGAACAGAGTTTTTAATTTAAATCTCTTAACACATATCTTTATGTTAAATCGAAATTATTTAGATATATCGAATGCGGCTCTAAATAGTGCATCAAAATAAAATTTTGCAGATGTAGGGGAAAGTGGATGTTCAGGTTTGATTTTTTTACAAAATAAATTTTGATTCTTAAACTTCTATGATTTTATTTGTACTCTATAACTGAATAACATAATTTTTTTAATTTTATATATACAGTATGTGTATGATAAATATGTATATATATAAATCATATTTAAATACTCGTTCAATGCATATCATATTAATTTCAATATTATTTTTTATAAATATATTTTTCAAGATATATTTCTAAATCTTCAACAGGAGCTGCAGCTATTTAATATCTTTTTGATTATTACGCTATCGATTGCATTATTAGTACAAAGTCTTCATACATCATATAGTTTTTAATCCTTTGATATATTTGCATGCCCTGGGCGGATTTTCCGCGGGATATGAAGATAGGGAAGAGGGTGGAAAAGCAAAAGGAAAGGAAGGTGCCCAGGATGCTTGGGGGGTAGTACGGGGTGCAAGATGTAAGACGAAGGAGGCGTGGCCTCGGCATTGATCCAGAACCCCCACTCTTGTGCTTAAAAGTACGGCTCTGGCTGCTCTGCTCTGTGCTCACCCCCGTCGACCTGTAAGAAACCGGCAAGAAATGAATATTCATGAGCCATCAGCTTCGCTGCCTCTATCTTCTTGATTCGGTCACCGGCGTCAACGAAAAAATACTTCGCCATTAATATGTATATAAATCAAAATGTTACTAAATATTATAATTTTATATTAAACAGAAAGACTGTCGAGAGAATTTTTGTTTTATAATTGCATATTACAATATTATGCAAATTTATAATTTACAAAATTATACATAGAATCTTATTCATTTTTTTTAAATTTTGTTTACATTTGACAATATTACTTAAAATAAATGTATTAAATATAAAAAAAAAATACTTTTTTTGAATAAAAAAAAATAAATTTTTTTATAAAACATTTTTTTTTTATCTAGAATCATGAATAATGATTGAATTTATCATGATTGAAAATTTTCCGGATTATTATAACTTTCTGGAAAATTCACTTTAATCGCTGATAAATAAATGTTTCCTTTCAATTAGTAATTTTAATCGTCTCGAGAAATTCGTGAAATCGCCAAGTGAGTCTTCTAAATGCCCTCCCACCGCGCGCTTGAATTAATTGTGGTAATTCTATTTCTATTTACTGTCGCAGGATATTGCTTTATCTAATTGCGAGCGAGGGGAAAGTGCCGGTAGTCGTAACGTTAGATTGATCGTCGATCTCGACGTTGGTAGAGACTAAGCCATGTATAGGATACTGAGACTCGTTTTACGATATAAATTAAGGGGCAAGTCCCTTTGTCCCGCCAGACGACAATACATTAGAAATATGTTTGCCAAGCAAAATGCAAATTATTTTTTAACAACAAATTCCTTTTTATTTAATCGAAAAATGCTGCGACGTAGAGAAAAGTAGCAAATACGTGAAATGCGGAGACATTGCGTTGCGGACCTTGCGTTGCATAAATCGCACAGGTACTTGCACTTGGGAACAATAGGATAGGATCATTGCATGAATATTTCATTCCTGGTCAGTGATCCGATATAAATAATCCGAAAGTTACGAAGCTCTCACGATCTAAAATTTTCACATGACAGTTTCACTCTACTCAAGTCGAGTATGCAAAATCAAGGGGGGGGGGGGGGGGAAGGCGCAACTGTTCGCAAAAGTATCTCGTAATTTTTTTATATAGCACTTATATTATTTTATATAATTGCGCCATGTCCAAAGATACATTTCTGAGAAAGGGATGTAAAAGGATTGGGCGCGACGTTAGCAAATTGGTTACCGGTTACGACGTTCCCGGAGTATACCGTGAGTTTGTTCTAACTTGCAGTCGCTGGCAGTTCTCCTCAAACAGGCTAGATTATGCTCCACATCTCTCCGTTTTCTCTTCTCCTAACTGGCTCGCGCGAATCGCGATTCGTGCCGCGCGACTATACATCCACGTTTGTTTGATCTAACTTTGCCTGCCTCAATCTCGCTGATTGTGAAAGAAGCGCAGTCGGAGAAAGCCTGCCGAAGCGAGACAACTTTGGAGTTTCTAGTCTTACCAGATTCGAGAAACAGAGTGGTCTTTATGAGCGATGAAAGATTTTATGTTCTATAATTAGGAACTTGAACGATCGAAATGTGGATCGATTGATTCTTCTCTCCGCTGTAAATTATTAATAATTCTATGTCTTATGGCTTTTTGCTTTGCATAGTTGTGTTTTATCATTATGAAGAAAAGAAGGTTGCACATATTACTTTTTTTATATGTACATAAAATGCATATTTAACAGACATGATATAAAAAGAAAGAATTATGATTATATAAAGATATAATTGTTAATAATTTATTTAAAAATATAAAATTCAGAGTGTTATTTGATAACGCAAGATTATATAATAAACATTTTTAAGTATTCTTTTACACATATTAATTTACGTTGCCATGATTATGGCGAGACTTCGTCTTAAATTGTCGGACGATACACATCACATTAAACCCGGAATGGTCCAAGCTTTAATTTACGAAGCTGTTAACGTATCCGATAAAATACAGCCTTCGGTTTTATTACGCCCATTCGACGCCATTTTGGAAGCGAGGATTTCTCTCCTCGAAACATTTCTGCCCGTTACTCTTACTTACCTAACCACTATGTCTTCCCACATCTCCAGCGCAGTAATTTCAATTGGTTCGCAATGCGTTCCGCACAATTTACTTATTTAAGGCAGATTTTTTCACCGACAGCAATTCTAAACACGAGATAAGTCTCACCCTTTGCAATTTAATCTACTTTGATCGTACTACTGAAAATTGCTTGGGTCAAAGAGATGAGATTAACCGTGTTTCCTAATGCATAATATATCAGGGCAGTAACAGATCATTTCGATTTGTTGTAGATAAAGAGCAAAATAATATTACATTTTTTTTAAACGCTTTAATGTACTATTACTTTTCTTGACAAACTCATTTTTTCCATTACTTTTTTTTTTACAATTTTTTTATGCGCGACTTAGAAAGGCTCCAGAGAAAACTACACTTTTCAAGTATCCACAGTTCATGATTTTTGTTTTCCATATCGACGGCTTTTTGAGTTTTACGCATCCCTCCCCAAGGAGGCAACTCATAGACCGGAGTGTCACGATCCTTTAAAATATTTAGAGGAGGTAGTCCGGGGAAGGAGAGAGAGAGACAGAGGGTAGAGGGAGTCGGAGGAGAGACTCATCCAAGTTGGCAACTTTCGGTCGTATTAGCTTTTGTATATATATTACCTCATTTGCGAGAGGAAAGCTTATACTTCTACCCCCTGTAGACACTGTATAGATATACCATGCACTCGCCTACCTCCACCCCCTCCCTCCACAATATACTTGTACACGTGCTTCGGCTATATTCCTTACCGTCAGTACGATACGTCAGTTGTCGCGCGAAATGCGACAAATCGTCTATTCGAAAAGTTTCCGCAACCATGACGGATTATATATTACTGTAATGCACGGAAGATGCGGAAAAATAAAAGTTCATGATTGTTTGAATCTCTCTCTCTCTCTCTCTCTCTCTCATTTTATTTATTCAAAACATATTAGTTTAAATCGATAATGCCAGAGAGAAACATAGTAAAGAGAAAAAATCTGATCACTTTACGCTCTTTCTATGAATCTGATCGGCCTATTTAAAAAAAAAAAGCGATTATAATGGATACGAGCAAATATAAAACAGTGACAAAAAGGAAAGTTAACCAAAGAATATCGTCTTACAATGTATGGGCAATAAAATTGTTGGAGATGTAAAACATTTGATTCTGTAATTTCTATTTAAATTCCTATCTATTCGTGGACATATTTCGTCAGTTCATGATTTCGACAATCTATAAATATTTTTTGAAGACGAATATATATATATATATATATATCATATTTTCAATGTAATAAAATTGATTATTATATTAATGAAACAATTACATCAGCAAATAATATCATACATGCAACTTTTGCTACTTTGGTAAAAGAAAATACGCGTCATAATTAAAGTGACACACATAAATAATATATTGTTAATATTTTTTGCGTATTACATCTCCTTATAACATAAAAAATTTTCTTTTTGTGTATCACTCTATTTTTACATCAAATTTGTAAAAGATTAATATTAAATAAAAAACAGATGCATACATTTTACTGCCTCGTTAATAAATATATAACAAAAAAATTATGTGTGTGCGTGGTTCAATATTATTATTCAATATATACAAAGATATAATATTAAAAGCAATATTTCTTAATTCCTTTAGTCGTAACGCTTTGACAATTTATTCTTCAAGTTTCAAACCCATTCTTAAATCTTAAGCTTCATATAAATAATCGTTCCGTCTTTTAACTAAACATAATGCCAATTAATTTCTATTTAAAATGTAAGTACCTATACATGTTTCCTTTGGACTACCTTTGTTTTTTATTTATATAAATTGATATTTCTAACTTTGAAACCCTGAGGCAAGAGGAGTGGCATCGCGGCGTAAAAGAACAAATTCATAAGGGAATGTAGCGCGAGGTGACGATGCTGGTACACCCTCGACGCGGGAAAACAGACATTTAATCTAAAATAACACACGGACAATGAATACAAAATATACGTCAACACGAATCATAACCTTTCCACTTCCGTCGCGTTGTTCGTCGGTATATCATCCCAGCGTTGTTCCGATTTCAGCATGAACATGCATAGTGACGTCGAGATGAGCCGGGCGTAAAAATAGAGAATAGGAAAGCGGAAAGCGCGACGTAAAGAGGACGAACAAAAAAGAAGAGGGTGGAGGAAACGGAGGAAAGCGACAAGAGTGCGAGGAGCATCGGCGGCGCATCGCCTTCGAGCAAGTATCGCCCGGCTGTCAGATGGTAGGTAGGGTTGGCGGAGAAGGAAGGTACCTACGCGCGAAGGTTAGGTCGGAATATAGTTTAAGCTAGACGAATGGGTTGGTGGGTGGTTCTGGAGGCAGAAGAGTGAGCCGAGGCGGGTAGTTTTGCCTGGGTACCGCCGCACCACCGTCACCCCTTCGCCTATCCGCCGGTCTTCCGCCGTTCCCCGACCCCCGCCAGCCCTCTGGAGGCACCCCTGGTTACCACTCCACCACCTTCTCCACCTCCTCGACGACGCCATACCCTCGTTCATAATATCCTGCACGTCAGACTTTGAAAACTCCAACAATTTCCTCCTGCCGCCTGGTTGGAGAGCGAAGAGGGGAGGGGAACGGGGAGGAAGGGGATGGCCGGGGCTCAGGGGGTTGGTTCTACCCGCCGTGTGGAGATGGTTCCAGGTTGCTGATGCTGGTGCCGCTCTCTTCGTGTGATGTGGCAGTGTTAGTAGTAGTAGTAGTAATAGCGGTGGTAGTGAAGGTGGCGGTGGTGGTGGCGAACCGACGGTGCGAGGGAGACGAGTTTCGAGTTTATATAAAGTTCGGGCCACATCAATAATTATAAGTAGAGAGCCGAGGCAAGATGGCGCACCCGACTGGCAAACCCCATCCTCTCACATGCCAACCGAGTCATTATTCAAGGCATCCTTACTTCC